ATAGACAGAAACACATGCATGCACGCACACACACACGCACACGCAAACGCACACACTATCTATAACGTTTTGCCTTTCATCTGTTTCCACAGTGGCCACCCTGGAGGTTATGATGGACGCTCTGTCCCTCCATATCCGTTCCCTCAAGGTAGAACGCTTGACAACATAATCTGATTTTCTAACCCTAGCAACACAACAAATACCACAACTTCATTTCAGTCCATTAACAAGACATGAGATGCAACATAAGTGATCTGTTGTGATATGTTTGGAAAACAATAACCTAATGTGTTCAGGATAGCACATACATGCAGAGATAAGGCCTGTTTTTTTGACAGATCAAAGAAGATCTAAAGTCAGTATTTCTTGTTATTGAGTGTTATTGCTCAAAAGTATAAATATCCATGTGTATATCATCATTTGACAGATATTTCTATTTGCTCGGTGGATATAAACTAATCTCAGAAAGCATTTCAACGCAAAGTGGCAACTAAGTTCTGATTCTTTGCCTCTTCAGGTGCTTACCCTCCACCCATGGCTGGAGGTGTGCCTCCTCCATGGCCCCCAATGATGGACAACTCTAAACCCTGGGACTACTATTCACGTCGAGATGACAAGAGAGACAAGGACAGAGAAAGGCCAAGGGAGAGGACACATGAGCGGGAGAGGGAAAGGGAGCACAGTCCTTCAGCTATGAGCTACACCAGGTGAGACAAATACACGCTCAAAGACGTGATGAACAGGGTGATGCACAATGTTTTTAAAGGAATGCTGCTTTGCACCAGATAAGTACAATGCTAATCCTCTAAGTATCAGCCATGACGTGACAGATTCACATTAAATACAGTTTTTTGTTAGCATCAATATAAAATTGAGTGTAACTAGCAGTAGAAACATTCAGTCAGGACAGCCTGCCAACTGGGTTTTTAGTCCCATATATATCCCTGGTGTCATGTTACCTAACTATGATTCCAACAAATTTCATACTGAGGTATACAGATTTTAATTTAAGGAAAATGCTAATGTCTCGTTGGCAAATTTCTGTCAAACGGGGAATTTGTGCCTGGATACGGTTTGTGTCTGTGCACCCACACACACAGACTGTGTGAGGTAAATTTTCCAACTGATAAAATATTTTTAACATTTAATCACGCAATTAATCTCATAATAAAATGAAATCTCTTTTTCTTTCCAAATGCCATAGCGACGAGGAGCGGTATCGTTACCGTGAGTACCAGGAGCGTGGTTACGGTGAGCGCCATCGTGACCGGTCGAGCCGAGAGAAAGAGGAAAGACACAGAGAGAGGCGGCACCGAGAGAAAGAGGAGGGACGCCACAAGTCCTCTCGCAGGTATGTGAACGCACACACAATTTCTCTCCTAGAACAACTGATCATTTGCTAAACTGTTAAAAGCAATTGTCTAGTTGTAGCTTAGCAACTCTAAATAGGCACAGCAAGCTTGTCGAGATTTGAATTTGACACTCCACAAGAGTTTTTAAAACCAAAACCACAACAGCAAAGGGGTAAGGAACGGATTTAACTGTGTTTAAAATGACTTTGTTTATCTGCTCTAACACAAGCTGCAAACTTGTTTCTACCTGCTGTAGTAATCTAGCGTTACCGTAGTAACTTAGTGTTACTTCCAAAACCAAGGACCGCATGATTACCTTACTACATTAGTTTTGGGGGTTCCAGGTTACTTTTAAAAAAAAAAAGGCCACATTCACAACTAGGACATCTAGTGTGAAGTACTTCCCCTTTGTGTGGAAAATCTGCCAGCAACACATGCAAAAGCAGCTTCTCATTTCTCGTCAGTGACCTTTGTTTCTGCCGGCTGAAATGAGAAGCTGCTTCTGTCTACACCAAACATGTACATTTACAGTCCAATTTCACAACTCAAGTGAGTGTCATTGCAATATTTTACTTAGTACTGCCGTAGATCGGATTATTGCCTTAATGGAGCAAAACAAAAATAATTTTTCTATGGTAAATCTGCCGTTGTTATCACTATAAACTGTAAATGTGCCACATGAGAGCAGAAAGGTTGTTAGCAACTGCAACTATAGGTCAATTGACAAATGCTTTTTTTCTTTACAGTACACCAAAATGTTTTCTATTTTTCCTCTTTGTCTCTTTTCCACCTTGTCTCAACCTTTGTCTCCCACCACACATTTGTTCTTGTTGTTATTGGCACCGTGCTGTCTCTCTGTCATTCTCTCCCTTTTGCCCCTTCTCCATTTCACTTCACCTCTTATTTTTTCCACCCATTGATCTTCTTGTGTCTCCCTTCTTACCTTTAATCTCCCTCTCCCTTCTTGACTTCCCTCCCTGCTGTTTACTCTCCCTCTGATCTCTTCCCTTTTACCTCTTGGATCTCCTCTCTCCTTGCCTCCTCTGCCCTTTTCTCACTCCTAACTTTCTTCTTCCATTAGCAGCAGCAGCAGGAGGAGGCACGACAGCGAGGAGGGCGATAGCCACCGGAGGCACAAACACAAGAAGAGCAAGAGGAGCAAGGAGGGCAAAGAGGCCAGTGAGGAGATCAGCGCAGACCAAGAGAACCAGGAGGCCATGGAGTAGTGATTGCCATCTCCTGTCCTTCCTCTCTCCATCTGTCTCCATTCCTGTCTGTCCTTCGTGTCTCCCACCAAGATGAGAAAGAAAGAAAGAAAGAGAGAAGATGGTTGCAGACCAACAAAACCAGAAAGTCGCAGAGTGATCGATGTGTCCTGTCACTCCCCTCTTCATCAGTCTCCATCCTCCCTGCTGCCATTCATCCTCATCATCTCTTCAGATGGAGAATGGAGGGATGGTCACTAGCTGACATCAGGCGGAGCATCAATCTTCAACCACCTCCTTCCTCTCTCAGCCCTTCTCTCAGAGCACTGCTGTAACAATGAGGTCATACTCACAGATTTCACTGTATAGTCAGGGCGATCAGCAGAATTTGCTCTTTTTCTGTCATTTGGTTTGTTTGTTGTCCTTTTGTTCTTGTCCTGTATGAAGACACCTGTAGAGAGCTGTCAGTTTAAGTTCAATTAAAAAAAACACTTTTGATAAAATGGCTATTTGTGGCTTTTTTTTTCTTCTTTTTTTGGAATAAATAGTACAATAATTCTTCAGTTTCAGGGTTTCTACCCTTAATGCATTTTTGAGATCAGCTGTGGAGTCTGAAACATTGTAATAACAAAAATCTTTAAATCCTTCTCCTCTCGAAAATTTGTTATTTATTTGTTACTTCTCTTGAATGTTTGACTTTCATTGTGTCACTGTGCAGAGTAATGTATGTGCGGAGTTTGCACTGCTGAAAGTTTCTCTGTGCTCACTCTAAAATCTGAGTTTAACACATGTACATACAAGTAACATGAAATGTCCAATGAACATACAGAGACAGGACTTTTCATTGAAGTAGGCCACACCTCCAGCAGTTCAACTTCTATAACAACAACAATTCTGGATTTTTATGTTTATATTTATTTATATATATTTTAAACTAGGTAACTGAACTTTTTTGTGGAAAAATATTTTTATGTCTTAAAATATGTCTGGGAAAGGTTTTTATTATGTCCTACTATGAAATGCATTAATATAATTTTTCTTTCAATTTGCCTTCAGGAAGAAAAAAAGATTTTGATGAGTATCTGCTGCTGCGAATGTGTAAGGTGTAGTGTCTTTACCAACTCACACAACACTTCTACTTCCTGCATGTGTGCACATACACTCAGCTGTTTTGTTTCTTAACATTTGGGTGATTTCAACATCCTCTTAAACTGTCACTGGCACAGCACAGCTGGGGTTATCAGCAGCTCAGGACAAAGCTCAAGTGACCTTCAAATTAATGTTTGATTGGAAAATACTGAAAACAAAACAGTTTTCCTTTGGGATTTGGACTTAAAGCCTCAGTATTTCTAAAATCCTGGATTCATCAAATGGAAGTAATAAAATATTTGATTTAGTCTCTTAACTTTTTACACCCATTCTATCACGTGCCCAGCTTGTATAGTGTGATTTATTGTTACAGATTAAGCTACCCAACAGTGTCCCGTATAGAGCAGTTAAAATATCATCACATCAACAGTGATGCAACATCATGCTGCTTAAATGTTGATGCATCAACATAAACACAGTAATAGTTTGACAAAATGATGCCGACTCGAGGTGGATTTACCAGCTTTTTCACATGGTCTTCATCAGCAGATTATGTTTGCTCAATAGCTGTGGTGTTTCACTATTCTTAGTATTTAATAGCTGTTGCTTTTTACTATGTTGTTATCATTCATTATCTGTTTGTAAACCATCCTGCACTTACAGTGTGGGTGCCCACAGGAGGAGTTACAATTTGTCCAATTGTTGGGTCTCTGTAAATAATAATATAAAGAGAAGGTCTAGACCTGCTCTGTTTGAAAAGTGGCTTGATTATGCCTTATGTTGTGAATTGGCGCTATATAAATAAAAATTGACTTGACTTGACAGTTGTTGACAAATGCATTAATATAGACTTACATCTGCTTACAACTACGGTTAATTATTAACCAGTTATTTAATATTTATGCTGCTTATGAATAGTTAGTAAGGGGCGTTTAAGAAAAGAGTTACAGGTTATACTTACATAAAACTTTGATATGAGAACTTTGATTAGGGTATATTTTTACTTTGTGGTATTGCTCCTAAATGATTGGAAAACTTTTACCACCACTGCGTCTGGCTACGAGAATAAAATGGTGCCTTATAATGTGTAGAGAGGAAAGTTAGTGTTAAGACAACATGAAAAACTTGATAACATGAAAGGTGGCAAACATAGTAAACCTTTTTTGTACTGGTTGGGTGTGTTTTTGAGTCTCAATGATGAAATGCATCAACATACATACCATATTCAGCCTCTACAAAGCTCCCTGTTGTATGTGATTGGATCAAAATTCCTCAAACAGGTCAAAGTCTCAGCCTCTCTTTCCCCCTCGAGCTGTTTGCTTTGGTTGCATCAGCTCACAGAATATATGCTGCTGAGATGCATGTGGGGGAAAGGCTGCTGATACAAAGATCCTGGCCAACAGTGAAGAGATACACCTGAAGACAAGATAAAAGCTGAGTGTGGGAGACAAACAGGGAGACACACATACAAGAGCTGCAGAAGGAAAGCTTTGAAAAAACAAAAAAGAGAACAGAGCCATCTTGAGGATGAAGTGTGTTGCTGTTGTTGCATTGCTGAGTCTCCTCTCACTGGGACACTCTGCTCCTGTGAGCAGCTGTGACAGTCTGGTAAAACCAATAACTATCAGCAATGAAGACGTAAGTGTTCAACTGCTTTAATTTGCATCTTAAGAACCTGTATTTTATTTAAACTCAGCCATAACACATCATGATCATCATTCTCTCTTGTATAAGGCTGAACAGCTTGTTAAACTTGATGACTGAACTGAATGTAAGACAGACAAGAGGGAATACAGACAGTGTTCGTCAGCAATAAAAATTAACTAGTTCAATCACATACAATTTAACGACGCATCTTCATACTGCATAAGTATACAGCCTCTTTTTTTTTCAGGGAAAACATTTTCAAATGTGACTCCTGTAACTTTACACCACTGAAACATATGTAGAAACTATTTCAGGGGTATTGGTGTTAAAAGCTTAAGTAATAAGTAAAGCTCCACAAATTTCTTTGCCACAGCAATGAAAAGTTGGCAAATAACTTAGGTGACATCTTACTTTAGAGGTAATTTCCTGATACATTCCTTGGAAATTTCCTAGGAGGAACTATGAAATATGATGCAAATTATAAAGAAAACAGGAATCTGCTTGAAAGACAAGCTCTATTAAAACGCACATACATTTTTACTTAATTATAACATTATTATTAGAAACTTTGTTCTTCAATGTCCCATTTTTTATTCAGCTGACCTGCTATTGGCTAAAGGATTTATGCTGTGTTATACCAAGGCAACTAATTGTAATTACTTCATTGGTTGTGTACCAGCAAAGTCTCTGTTTCCCATTTTCCTGAAAACTGCTCCGTTCTGGTGAATTATTTGGGAACTTCTACAGACTGGACCTTAAATCACAGATGTGTAAATTAAAGCTTTACCAAACTTTTATATGGCATCATTTTGTGATCTGTTTTCAAGAGCACGTGTAGTAGCAGTAATAGCAGTGTGTACAATTGATGTCATATTTTATATGTATTTAATTAAGTATATCAAAGGAATACATGTCTCAGAAATCTTCCATGACATCACAACAAGTCTGCCTGAAGGTTGAGAAGCGCAAATATCCTGTGCTCTGTCTGTGTGCTCCAGATGTTGGGTAGGTGGCTGTACATCGGGGGCAGCTCTGACCTCCCAGGAAGCCGCTCCCTGGGCCACCTGCTGACCAGTGCCTGGCTGGACATCACAGCAACCACCCAGAGCAACATCCTCAATCTCGTCCAGACTCAGAGAATGTAACCCCCCCCCCCCCCACACACACACACACAGAATTTACATAATGTATAACTGCTTAATTCTTATGAAAGACTCTAAGACCGATGATATGATGGTCTGATGCAGCCTTTGTGTTTTTCTTCACAGATATGGTGAATGTTCGAGCTTAACATACAATGTGACCTTTGAAAACAGCACAATGTTAATTGGTAAGTGAAGAGGAGCCATCATGTGAGAAAGATCCTTAAAACCTGAATTCAAACGCACTTAATTTCCTCTGATTTCCTGTCTGTGTGTGCATGTTTTTTACAGAGCAACCTTTTTACCTCAAAGAAGTATATCTGAAGACTGACTGCTCTGACTGTCTGGTTGTCCATGAAGAAGTTGTCTCTGGCAAAGACACTTTCACCAGTCTTCTGCTTTTTAGTAAGAAATGCTCACTACACACTGAACTGACAATGAATGAGCACAATAAAGAAAATTAATATTTTTCTGATGAAATTACATTAAATCAGGCATCTGCTGTTTTGTGAAGTCAGTATGTGTATGTTCATTTTACAGCTTAAGATGGATTTTTGGCACAAAAAACCAACTGGTTTAACTGTATGGTTTAACCGTGTGGTTAAAAAAGTAAGCCTGACAGACGAAGTGAACGACCTCTACTCAGTGGGCTGTCTCCAGTTACTCAGCTTGACAAGTAGCTGTGTTAAATTACGTGTTTGCGATGTATTTTTTTATTTAGTTTAACCTAAAGTTCCTAACCCTGAAGTCTTTATTTCCAGGCAGGAGAAAGAGCGTCTCACCTGACGCTCTGGAGATGCTCAAGAAACAAGCAGAATGTCTCCGCATGCCGTCGCCAATAATGATAGAACTGAACTACGGTGAGATTGTTAACAAATTCAGCATACTGTAGCTACCTCCAATATTTCACACACACACTTATTTTCAATGTGTATTTACACAGAAATCTGCCCAGACAACATCCTGCCCTCAGAGGGGCTGAGTGCCTTCAACTCCTTATTAGAGGCTAAGATGGGACATCGAGTTGCAAGACTTCTGGATTCTCTATTTGATATGTTTGTGAACTGATTTAGACTTTGTTTTTGATTTGTGCCATAAGCCATTTTGAAGGAGTAAGGGTACATTTTTTTCTGAGATATTGTAGGTCAGTAATTAAGAAATTTTAATTAAAAGTAAATGTAGGAACTACCTTATTCTCTTATTTCTACCATAACCCTTAAAATTTATGGTGCTGATGCTATTATCATTATAACTCTTTATAGCTGGTGATTGTGGACACAGAGGATAAAAAGATGTCATATGCTTCAAATTGCCACCACTGCATTTCTGTGCAATAAAAACCTTGTTCCTCTCCAATGTTACAGAAGATGTTGCGTTCTGCTCTGCGAGTACCACAAGATTCATTACATCCAGGAGAAGTGGCTGGATGCTTTTCCTCTGACATCTTCTAAACGCTAAACTTCATCACGCCAAACACACTTCACTGCCTTTACAGCCTTGTTGTGTTTGTACTTACGCACTTGCAAACTAATTTCCTAAGAGGAAAGGCTTTTGTAGAAGAGGTGCGCACGCTTACCAAATGACATGCTGGAGGTTTAATGGTGGTGACATTGACGTCATGCGACCGTGGTGTGGTTTGGTACAATGTAGCTGGAAGAAACTGAAATATAAGAGAAACTGCAAGAAGCGATAATTCTCCGAGTTCATCACTACTAGCAATGCACATACTTATTGTCATTTGATCCACTGATAATATAAAACGTTGAATATCAGCTTTAAGTATGCAAAATGTTATACACAGAGGGTATCTGTTCACAGTATGTATAGCTGTTTCATTCTGTTGTTTTAAAAAATACTTTTTCCAGTTTTCCAGTTACTGCTTATTAAAGTTAGGTATATATATACTATGCTATACTAATTATAATCCATAGTAATTATAATCCAATAACATAATATAAATTATTCTAAAATGGGCTATTCTGCATGATGATACTTTACATTTGGTACTTTACGTATATTTTGATAGTAATACTTATCTACTTTTACTCAAGTAACATTTTGAATGCATGTACTATGCAGTATTTATATACTCTGGTGCTGCTACTTTTACTTAACTAAAATGACTGGGTAGTTCTTCCACTGTTGACTTTGACCACCTTTCAACCAGATTGCAACACAAGTGTAAACAGTTGAGGACTCCATGTGGGCAGAGCCTCTGTTCTTCAATGCATCAGTTTTAGCTTGAAGAAGAAACAGTCAGCTTCAAACTGCGGTCAGGGCAATACGCACAGGTTCAGGATCTTTGTGTAAGCAGATGTGACGAGCCATGATGGGGTTTCTTTATGTTGCTGTGGCTGTGCTCAGTCTTCTGTCTGTTGGACAGTCAGCTCCTGTAACAGACTGTGAAAGTCTCGTCCGACCTCTTGAAATCCAAGGAAGAGACAAAGTAAGACACTCTTTCATCTCACTTGTGACCATCCTCAAACGCTCTCACTTTCTGCATCTTTTCATTTTTGTATCTATTCACAATCTATTAATGTGACCATCTGTCATTTTACGCAACTGAGTGAGAAACCGTCTGTTACAGCTGCTGGGCAAATGGATGTACATAGCGGAAAGTACAAATGTGACTGGATCCAAATTGCTGACAAAGATGGCTGTAGAGAGCAGCTGGGGCAGAATCACCGCTGCTAATGAGAGTGATGCCATCGATCATTATCAGGCTCAAAAAATGTAATTTCAAACTTAAATTCGAGGATTGTATGAAGTTTTTTTAATTCACTTTTCACTCCAAACCACAATAATTTAGGTCATTTTGAACATTTTGGAAGAAAAATCTTATTTAGAGAGTTCAGTGATGTTTCTTCAATGAACAATTTCACTCTTTTTGTTTGTTTGTTTTTTAATTTCTATGTGTGAAAAGGTTTGGCCAATGCTTCACGCTCAGAACTAAGTTAACCTTAAGAAACAGCACTCTCTCTATGGGTGAGTAGTATTAATGGAACTTGCTGTACAAACATTTTGAATGAGTACCTGCACAAATTTGGACTTTGTGTCCAGTGTATATATTTGTGTTTGTGTGTGTGTGTGTGTGTGTGTGTGTGTGTTTGCGTGCATGTGTGTATCCCCAGTGCGACCTTACACTGCCTCTGCCAACCTACTGAATACTAGCTGCACCGACTGCCTTGTTCTCTTCTCAAAATTAACCACTGGGAGAGGCGTGTACAGTGGTGTCCAGCTCCAAAGTAAGACTAGAGATGTAAAAGAATGACAAACTGTAGTCACTTTTCTCTGTTTTCTGATTGATTTGTCAGGCATTGGTGCAAAAAAACATGTAAATCCAATAATGTCATGAGGCAATGGTGATCTAATACAAGCAGAGATATTAAGCTAGTTTGGTATACATAGTACAACTAATTTCTCCTAGAGTTGGCAGATTTCTGTCATCTCACATAACCTTGTATATCATCATATTTCCCAGCTGTGAGTCAGACTATTCACAAATTTACTCTTGATGGAAAACAAGAATACGATTATATAGGCTAGATTATAGACATAGCAGCTCTGTAACACTGTACTTAGACACATTGGTGCTTTTACCTAAATTCTAATAACAGTGTTTACATGCTGATAAAGAAATGTAAGGGGATCGCCAAAGACCAACAGTGCCATCCCTAGTGTCATCCTAGGGATGATTAGAAGTAAAACTTTAACTTGCCCCCTTGTGTTTTAATCTCTGACTTTACTTGAATGACCCTAAACCCAGTAGCACTGTATAGCTCCTTTGCCTACACTTGTTGTGTCTCTCAGGCAGGAGAGGGAAGTTGTCTGATGCTGAGCTGCAAGAGTTTATGAAGCAGGTAGAGTGTCTGAACTTACCATCACCTGCTATCCTGGACCCAGAAAAAGGTATGAACTGTCACGTGTCATGTGGCTGCAAGGGTTTAAATATATTTTTCTTATCCACTGATGTGATGTCTTTACCTTTTTTATATTGTGAAATGTTTAATTATTGATGTTTTTAACATGCATGTGAGTATGGAATGTACCTGAACTTTTACTTGTCAAAACAAAATTTGGATATTGTGTCTTTATTTGTGCAGCAGTTGCAGCAATATCTTAATTATGGTTTAACTAGGAACAAATAAAATACAGTGCAGCCAGTGGTAAAATGTATTTTCTCAAAACAAACAACAACTTTTTGTTAGATTTACAACTAAAGTTAAATTTATATTAGATAATATTGATTTTACAGAAACATCATCTAAATGGTAAAGTTTACAACACCCCTCTTTAAACCTAATTTAATATGACACCAGTGCCAGTCACACACAAGTGTGTGAATGGTTGGTGTCAGACAAAGCCGAATATCAACGCTTAAATCTCTAAGCCGTAAATTTTATTCTTTGTCCTTGCCTCTATTTTGTTCGGATAAAGTTGTGTATTCATGAAAAGCCCTGGGATAAATGAAATCAATCCTTAATTCTCTACTTCACAGGCTTTTGCCCAGACGAGTTTCCCTCCCAAGAAACAGAGACCATTGATCTTACTGATTTCATGAATGACATGGGCTCTGAAATTGTCAATCTATTTGACAAAATTATGAGCAGTGGAGATGGACTGGAGACGCTCATCAAACTGATCTCCAGCAGTGACATATCTGATTTTAAAAAAAATTAAGATTGTCAAGAGTGTCACGACATGCTTACATTATGAAGACATTATGTCTGTGTGTGTTCTTCCAATAAAAATAGATACTGAATGAATATGAAGTATGACTATTGTTCCTTTGGTTTAGGGTTTACAAGGTTTGATATACAACTACAAACATTGGAATTATCTCATTTACAAGTTCAAAATTATTTGGACCCTAATTTGAGCCCTTATATACGTAGGTATGGCGTAGAGTCATGTGCATGATTTACCATTTCTTGCTGGTTGTGGAGGACTATAAGATGTGGTACTGCCCTGAGTTTGATTCTGTCATCGCTATGAAAACACATAATGGTAATTGTATTAAGTAAAATGACTTTCCATGGCAGGGCAGACAAGGAGCTCTTCTTCTGATTATGAATGTTCAAAATACTTAAGAACATAAAAGATTGAGCAATCATCCATTTAAACCTCATTTAGCATCTTGGCTGCTGCAGAATTCTGACTTTAAACTCAGAATTCTGAGATTAAAGTCAGAATTAAAAAAAATAAAAAAACTCCCATGTGGCCCTAATCCCCTTCTGTAGTCCAGGTATGCAGCCTTGGTGTTGTTTGTTTTCTGGGTTAGGGTCTGAGGCTGAAATAATAAATAAATGTGAAATATTGTTCACAAATTGCCAGTCTGTGGGTTACTATTGTAAGGCTTACCAAAATGAGAACTACATTCAGTTTCATCTCAGTTGGAACACGTAACCAGGATGTGTGGAACAGAACCGTTGAGGTCATGTCCTCGTATTTTCCTGGAAATATGTGGTTTTTACAAAACTCACACACACACACACACACACACACACACACACACACACACACACACACACACACACACACACACACACACACACACTTACAGCACTTACAGAAACTAAATAAACAAAAGACTAGTCCTGTGTATTGATATTAGTGCCTATAGGCAGTGGTGGAAGGTAACTGTTTACACAAGTGTAGACACGTACTGTATGATCAATATTAAACATGAAAAATATTTAGAAGAATAGAAAATATTATTATTATGTCAGGTCACCCCCTATCTTCCTTTATAGCTTTAATATATTGTCCAAGTTATTATTAAATTATTGTTAAATGTGGGAGGAAACCGGAGCACCAGGAGTTAACCCAAGCTGACACAGGAAGATACTAGTGTCTGGAGTCTGGCCTTGTTGCTAAGGCCAGGGTCACCACCAGTGAGCCCCTCTGTGGCCTAGTATAACCTTGAGATAAACAGCACTGAGGTGACAGTGCTAACCACTGTACCACCATGTCACCCTCACATGGTTACAAGACAAATGGCCACTATGGAGCAAGAAAGAGCAAGTTGAAAGATGGGCCAGAGGTCCTTTCTCCATTTACCCTTCTTGTGTGTAGGCCGAGCAGACTACTGCATGATGTGGGCTTGCAAACTTTTAATGATGGCAGCCTCCACAGTTGGCTGGTGTAATAATATTACTTTCTCCAGATTGTGCATACTGCCAAACTCCTTCCTCAGGTCTTTGATCACAGCCTTGCAGATCTGCTTGATGTCCTCATCACCCAGGCAGAAATCTTCACTCACAGTAAGTCCCTGCAGTGTTTGGTTCACCAGTTGTTCAGTGTAGGTGACTAAATCGTTGTTCGTCGAGACGTCCAGAACGTGGCACTGGGTGAGCAGTCTCACTGTCAGAATAGTGAAAAATACCTCCCCAGCTGTGGCCTCACAGCCAGAGGTGGGAGAATCACCAGATCTCTGGTGGTTTCATTGTGATTTCTGTAGAGTCGTTTTCCTCTGGTGGGATTCTTCTGTCTTGGTTGAGTCCTCACAGAGAGAGGCAGAAGAATCAGACTGAATTTACAGATGACCCCTGAACATGTCACTTAACAGTTACTTTACAGTCCGGTCCACTCTAACCCCTGATTCTAAGTAGATATTTGATGTTTCTATGAGCCCATGATGACCTCTGGTAACCGGACGTCTCCATCTTAAAAACCAGACTCCATTGACCCAATTGGTAATTTAACACACTCAGATTTATTTACTTATTAATCAAAAGTGTTGGTGCTGTTCTGGATCATTGCGGTCCACTTTAACCCCTGTGTACTTGTATAAAATGTATAAAGAGTAAATTTCACAAGAGTCTCAGAGTAAAGCTCACAAAAACACTGATAAAAAAAGGTGGTCTCCCTGCCTCTCTGTGCCCGGCTGTGCTCTGTCTGTCGCCTTCTCCTAATGACACCGTGTTTCACATTACCTTTAATATTACTGGAGGCTTACTTGGTGTTTTGCTGCACTGAAAAATGCCCCGCGTCCAACCTTATGAGTTATTTGAGTAAACATTTAAAAGAAAATGCAGTAATCCAATTTATTTTCATTTTCACATACTCATGTGGGTGTTTGACTATATTAAAATGAAAATTAAAAAGCTGTTTGACATTTGTTTTTTAAAGAGTTAACCTGCTCTTCAGTGACAATATTCAATTACAAAACTGTGTTTTATGATACAACTCAATAGAAATTACCAGACTAAGATTTAAAGAATTTTAAATGCACTGCAATAAGTGCTAAGATACTAAGAGACATTAATGTGGTAATTATTCTGATCCCAGATATATAATAAATAATAAAAAATAAATATTTTTTTTTTTTTATAAGACTAAATTTTAATCTATGTGTGACCGTGGGAAATAACAGGGAATTGCCTTGTGTTTAGCCCCATCCTGTTAATCCTCCATTGGCACGGGGAAATGAGAAAAGTTGAGAAACTTTGATTAGAAAATGAGCAATGTTTGCAACATTTCAAACCCGTTGTATGATTTATGATACATTATGATACATTGATAAATTAATTTCTCCTATGAATCCTACATTTCCCTTAATGCAACTTGATCACATCTTTTATTAGGTAGATGACCTAATTATAGGTTATTTGGTCGCCTAAATGCTCATATCTTCCAAACACCATATAACCTCACATAATAATGAAGGCTTTCAGATTAAAACTTTTACATTTCAAGACAATCTGAAATAACTTTACTGCTGTACAACAACTAAATTTGCCTGTTCACGTGTTAATGTTTTTAGCCATGCTTGCAACATGGCTCTATGTCAGTTTTGGTTTGTCACTCAATCACTTTCAATCACTTTGGTCTACACTGAAATGTAACTAAATGCATGTGCCTTGTTCTTCCAATTGTAACCCAGGTTATTTTCTGTAGTCCCAATTTACAGATGACCCCTAAACATGTCACAAGCAGGCTATTGGCAGGGACTTTCTAGGCTGCTGCACGCGGTGGAGCCTGTAGCCCCCACCCCCTAAAGCAGCTACCTGAGGACGTGTGGTGCGGAGAAGTATGAAACGGGAGGGTGAAATAAGACATTTCTAACATTTTTGAACTAGTTTTTGAGACGTGTAATTGAGCAGTGATGTCGTTAATCCCGGCAAAGAAGTTTTCTCAAATGTGATGTGGCTGTTGAGAGTGGAATTATCATCGGACGAACTCCTTTGGGCGTTTCTTCTCAATTAAGTGGATCATCCTGGTGAGTTAACTACTCAAAGTTAGCTAATTAGCATGAACACTTCATTGCTACAGAGTGGAATTGTGAGTTAACGTATTTTGAGAAACAACATAAGCAAAACCACTGAGGATATAATGTTTTATGTGACGTGGAACTGTTCATGGTTGGTATGAGCTGTGTGGATGTTTGATGTCGGATAATCGCGACCGAAAACCTACGTAAAAGTAATGTGTTTGGCTGTTGAACTTGCTCTAGTGAAGCACAGTGACGTGTGTATTTGACTTATGCATTGCGGTAAAAGCTAATGTGTTGTGCTCAAAAAATAAAACAATTGTGGAGTCAGATGTGTATTAATTTGAAACAGAGAAAAAGCGACTATTAAGTTCAGAAATGTTATAGTGAAGCTGTGTTAATGATGTTATTATGGACAGTGAAATAAGAAAAATAAGACATGATAATTTTTCTGCAGGGAGGATTCATTGTGGGACAACTCGGAGCTGCCGCATCCTTGTTGCTGCTTGTGGACACCTTCATCTTGTCTGGACACAGACCTGTGGACGTTGTGTCGCCCAAGGGGCGGTAGGAATCAAGTCAAAGGTAACTTGACTAAGGAGGATACATTTTTTTATTTGCACTTTTTTCTGAGATCTCAGAATTTTTTTTTTATTGAGTAAACTCTTAGAGAGGCCCATGTTCGAGGATTTGTTTTCCAAAGGAGAGAAACGCAAAACTGATTTAAACTTCATAACTTTAAAGGAAAGAAGGAAAGTTGAAAAATCAAATAGACAAAGACTATGAACTATAACTGAGCAATCTGATAATAAAATACAGATGTAAATTTTATTTGTTACCAGGGCTGAGTATTATCTTCACTGAAGTTTTATTTTTTTCGTTAATGTATTTCCTTGGTTGCATATACTAGATTTTTATTTTAATGGTAAGTTTGAGTGGAAATGGTTGAAAAAACTGACTTTTGAGTTAAAGGGAAGTGTACAAAAAATTATACTGAACAAAAGCCTTTATAAATATTTTTTCCATCTTTTCCTTAAGTGAGTTGTTGTGTGTTTTGTGTGCTGGAGGTCTTGTTACTCTCACCTAGAGTCTGCTATCCCCAATCTCCTTACCGAACCTAATGAATTGATGAACCTGAGAATCTAGTGTATCTGTAACCAAACTGAAATGTACGATTTTAGGTTGGAAATATTTTGAGAGCCCCAGATACTGATACTTCAGCTGGAAAGGTTACACATTAGAATCCAGGTCATACAATGTAGGGAGGGGGAGGGACTCTCTTTCTTTGTGGGAACTGCCCACTAATCAGTAGAGTTGATGAACATCCTCAAGGCTAAAAGTAGCAAATCCAGTTGCCTTTGTAGTGCTTCTACATATCCTGTGATCTCAAATTTGTATAGAAACTTTGTCAACAAGCAGGAAAAGTGACCTCGCATTCAAATTAAAAATTACACTGCGTTACAGAGGAGGATGCTCATAGCCTTGTTTATTGGTAGTTTATAACTGTACATACACCTGCTCATGAGTCATATGTACATATACCTTTCTCTCCCTCATACACACAAACACACATAGAGCACACAAGATTATATAAAAATGACTCATTTTCTGTGCAGGGCTCAATCACAGTCTGAGATCTACAAAGAACATATGCATCTGCATACACCGTGCGCATACACACATACGCGCACACACCACAGATATCTGCATATGGCCTTATGCCTTGATTTACACAGAACAGACCACAATCAAAAAAATAGAAAAGTGACTGATGAACCAATAGGCAGCCCAGTGGTAATCAAGTGAATCTGGATCTTTTAACATATAAACCAAGACACTGTGAGCTTTGTGGGTCCTTGGTATATGTGCTTCCTTTCCTTAGTCTTTTTCTTAGGGGCATGTTTCAATTTCAAAACAAACTCCAAATACATCATTTTACAACTGTTCAAGTAATGTGTGATTTCATTCTTGACTCCCTGGTGCAACTTTGGAACATACCTGACGGTGAGATTTTCCAATGCTACATATTGTTTATCTAGTATTATCCCCTGAGTGTGGCCTATACAATCAACCAGAGCTCAGTGACCTAAAACTAAGTGGCTTTGTTCAAATTCTTGCAATATGCAATCTCACAGTCTGAGTCAGGATCTGGGTGTTTTTATAAATCAAGAAGTGTGCTGAGTGGGAAAAACTAAATCTATATCACATTCAAAAAGGCCATTTTTTTCTGTTTTCCCCTTTCTCCTACTTGCTGGCAAATGAGTATATGTTTAATTAAACTGAGATGTGCTTCATGATATGATCTATAACATGTTGACATTTTTAAATATAGTCTTACAGCTTTATCTCAAAAGCAGGATTGTTAGTTAGCTAGATAACTGAACTAAATCAAGTCTGGAACAACTTTATTGTCCTTGAACCTGCATTAACTGACACGTTATCACTTTATAAAGTTGATATAGCAAACAGTTGCCTATTTACATATCCTGTAAAGTCAGAGCAACATTAGCATTCATTTGGAGCAATGTTTCTGGCCAGCTGATGAATATCCAATATTCACCCTCCCTCAATTAGTTTCAACTGATTCCTAGGAAATATCTGGCTCTTCAGATGCTAAAATGCTCCTGCATTTAGTGGCCTTGTTTGCTACTGCTGCTGCAAACAAGACTGATGAAGGTGATGAGTGAACCAACAGTAAATTTGCAGGCCAGAAACCCAAAACAATGAGCTGAAAGATGCAAAAATGTTTTGCAGGGCTGGGAGAAACTGCTGAGTGGGGTGATAATTTTCTCCAGGTTTCAACACTACAAGTAACCCATGTCACTTTACAGTCATTTTTCATTGTTAATATAAAAATACTGCAGCTTTAAAGTCCATGTTCCTGATAGTGGAGTAGTCTGATTTTACTCAGTGCAGTTATGAAGCTAACTTTAGTAATCCTGCTTCATGATACAGAATGCTGACATTACACCTAATGAAAAGAATTTAACACTCTTGGTCACCCCAGGCTTCTGAATGTAATGAGTCAGATTATATCTAAAACAGAGGAACTTTCTCATAAGAGCCACATCCTTTACTTGGACACATAAGTAAGCCAGAGGTCAGCAGATAAGGAGGAGAGGCCATGTGAAGCTGTTAAGGACAAAGCGATTGTGTGCTTTAGTGTTGACACATGACCATAGAGATAAAAACGAAACAACTAAAGCATAATTTTGCAGAAAAAAGCCCCCCCCCCCCCCCCCCACACACACAAAACAAAAAAAAAAAAAAAAAAAAAAAAAAAAAAATTTTTTGAAAAAAAACCCCCCCCCCCCCCCCCCAAAAAAAAACCAAAAACTGAGTCGTATTTCATGAATGCACATATAATATGTACACTCATGCACTTATAAATTACTACAACAAAAGTAACAAAGATCAGTTATGGCAAAGAAATACTTAGGAGAAAGAACCCTGCTTCACAGAGTAAAGAGTATGTCTTCATGTCTGATTTGTCTTTTTTGCTTATGTTTGACTGACACACACACACACACACACACACACACACACACACACACACACACACACACACACACCAAGTTTGCAAGCACTGACTGCCTCTCTTTCACCAAAACAGTAAACAAAACTTGAGATACTAAAAAAAATATAAAGAAACCAAGAATTCCTTTCAACGTCACCAGTGGCTGTCTTTCCAGCTTATGTGTTCCACTGTGACTGAGAAGAAGTTGCTAGGCAGCCGGTCTGGATACATCACCTGGACACACATAATGGTGAAAACAAATTGTTCCAGGTAAACATCGTAGCATAAAGGCCCAATCATACTATGGGGAGTACAGTCAAAGTGTGTGATTGTCACTGGGTTAGGGTGATGCACAGTAAGTGTGCAGAGATACGAAGGTGAAAGGGATAACAATGTCTGGTAGTTGATAAGAAGAGTGAGTTCCGCTTTTTTGGCCACTGGCCCAACATGTTCCTGTGAGACTAGTTAGTCCGCTACAGAGTTGATTTGGATGACAGTTCCTTTGGAGTTCCACATCATGTTGCCTCCACAGCCTCTAGTAAGGATCTAGAGAACCAAACCAACTGTTACAAAAGCACTGGGGTGTATTTTTTGCAGGTGAAGTTGGCGGCGTGACAGTAGGTAACGTATGAAAGGGTTTGTCGTATCATGGTCTGACTGTGCCATGTGCTTAGGATAGGGAACATACAGATGACAAAATTCCAGTTGTAGCTCACAGAACTCGAGTTCGACGGTCCAGTCTCCAGCTCTGGCTCCAAAATTAATAACACTGCCCATGGATGGGTCTCCCCTGACGTCCCACAGGCTGGTGCCAGCTCGTCCGTCATGGTTCAATGGTGAATTCACTTCAATGCCAGAGTGGGGATGCTGGATTTGTAAACAAGGGTGTAGATAAGGTATGGGTGGGAGAACGGGTCAAAGAGAAAAGTTGATTGATGCTACCCTGTAAACAAAAATATTGTAGTATTTTGGGAAGGGTAGTTATTCAGGAGCTTGACAGCCACTGTGGTTCTGTGACAGAGCTGGGCAGCAGTGGTGGTTTTAAGATGAGCTGCAGTCACGCTAGTCCGGTCTGAAGATGGGGATCTTAGGTAGGAACTCTATTAGGATTACCTGCAAGGGATAAGAGAAAAGGCAGTTAGTGGTGAGTCAGGTTTGGACGTTACAAGAGCATTTCCTGTGAGATGACAGCGATTTTTTAGATAGTAGTGTGATAGTATTTCTACTGAAGTAGCTATCACCTTTCTAGCTCAGTTCATACTGGGCCACTGAAGGCAACATTGCAAATCGATGTTGCAGGACTTCTTTATGGCACTATCAGTTGCACAGAAATGTTACATTATTATGGTGAAGTACCTTGACGTCCTAGGTATTTAATACACTGTATTATCCATAATCTGACATTCTCATCTGGTTACGTAATGTACAGTTTCTCAACTGAATAATCACAAAGTGAACTGTCCCAAAATATATTGCTATTGGGTTATACTGTCATTCAAACCAGCATAAAGGATTTATTACCCACCCCCATGTTTAGTGTGTGCAAGGCTGAGAGGAGACGTGTAAGTCCATGCAAATCAACATTAGCACTGTGAAAAAACACAACCTCTTTAGTCATTTTAAAGGAGACTACTGTAGTGTTGCTGCAGGGGCCTAATGCAGAGGTTTCAAACAAACAAAATAATAAATAATAAAAAAAAAAAAAATGCAGCACAAATTTGATCCTGGCTCAACTCCTGCTTCAATGCAGTGTCACATCATCTAGCCATGTTTAGCAATCAAACACATGCAAGCTCACATTCCGGGTAGATAACTATGTAATGTCAATGTTGTAATTCTGCTGTTGGTTACTGTCAACTTGGGGATTGTTGCGACTGAGGATAGTATGAATGCAGCTGTGATATATATTTTCAGTTGTAAAATCTCTCCTCACTGCATTATAAACCAGGGTGCAGTATTTTGGTGTCTGATAGGCCTTCAACCTGCTACAGCCAGCCTTCCTGGATCATGTATTATCATCTGATCCGAACCTGAAACTCAGCTCAGACCCTTGCCTTTTTTAACAAAAATTTTGTCCCAAATGCTGAGTAAGTATGCTTTCATCGAGTATTTTGGGACATTTACCCCAAAAACAAGTACAGAGCTCAAACATTAACAAAAGCAGATACTTACATATTCCATCATGTTGTTGGTTTCACACTTTCTTTTGCTTAGTCTCCAGTGCAAACACAACTGCAAACAGAATGCAACAGTGATGATCAGTTTATATAACATTCCTAACAAGGTACACTAATACACAGATATCTGTATGCGTCTTCTCTATTCACCTTGTGGTAAAGTCTGCTGTTCTCCCACTCCAGGAGCTTCTCTATAGATCTTCTTGTCTAAAAAGCATCAGTGACGTTACATGATATATGAGTTTTCATCAAAAAAGGTAGCACATTCAGCTTTTTCCTGAATCCCTAGTTGTTTTGGATTTACTGTGATGTTGCAAATGCAACAAAAATTGGTGCAGTGTTCAAACATTAGGATCATATGAGGGAGGGACAGTGTGGGTTGACATCTCACCCGCTTGCTGAGGCAGATGACAGGCCACAAACTGAAGCCCAACGTGCAACAGCAGCAGAGGCAGCCACACAGGAGCCACCGCACATTCACTGGCAGCGTCTTCCTCAGACAGCTGTTTACACGGTTGATACTGGCTTTGAATTCCTCCGGTGCCACCTAAGGGAAGCATGTTTACATTGTACGTTATGTCGGTTAGTGGCTTGAATATAATGTAATTCTTGAAGTCAAGGAAATGCAAGAATGTGATTTTGCCACAGCTAATATGTACCGACAAATAAAAAGAAGACACTCACTTTCCCCGTAAGTGCTGAAGGAAATTCTGACTCAAATTTGTTACTAAGCCCAAACCTGTAGGGGAGAGGGGGGAAAAAAGTAGACTGTTATGCATAAGTATACACACACTGTATTTGGATAATTGTCTTGAATAAACAAACACCTGTCATGTCAAGTCTACTACTGGTGCTATTCACTCGTGGGGTGCAATGTCCAGTAACTTCAGTTCCTCCTGCTACAACAACTTCTGCTGGAAATAGTTGCCTGCCTCTCATTGAAATTATCAATTTGAGGGTAAAATATATTAATTCAGATTAGGATGCACATGGATTATTAATTCCAGAGTAGGAATGCTCATTTGTGAGCACAATTTAGAAAAATGTGTGCCCTTAGTACAGTATTTAACATTGGCATTCTCGCTACAACAGCACAATGAGCCAAGGGCTGAATCAATTATCCATAAAACAATTTCCTGACCTGCAACTAGTGATGATCAATCAAGCAAAAATAGTGAAAATATTCTATTCTATCATGTAGACATGTACTCTAAGATATTTTCTATTTATTTTGGAGTAAAGTCGTATTATTTCTGTGATTTAGTTGTAACAGTTACTGTAGAAAGATTAAAGGGGAGGAAGAAACTTGAGCCTGAACTTGGGATCACTTTCCACCCAATCATCTCCATACAAGTTCCCTAAATTATGACAAAATCAGATATACTACATACTTACTAATCCCTGTTACAAAATTAATTCACACGACTACAGTGCAAACAATTAAAATTTGTCAATAAATCATTGTAACTGTTTAAGCAAAATGGCAACATTAGTTGAAGATTTTGAGTTTTTCTCCTTTTTATATCGCAATACACTGAATACCTTTGAGTTTTTGGACTGTTAGTGGGACTAAACAATACATTATAAGACACCACTTTGGACTGGGAAATTGCAACGGACAATTCATTTTTACTATTTTTGGTCGACAGGCTAACGATTTATCGCAAAAGTAATGACATCAGTGGATAAAGAAAATAATTGTTAGTTGCAGCCCTGAACGAGTCTGATCCTGAGTTCAAGTCCTCACATAGTGGAATCAATAACGGAACAAACAGTGATGACTTCTCAATAGGTTATAAAACAGCATTCCAAACTATCAAAAGTACAGTTTTAGTAGGTCATGTTCTTCAGCTAAAACGAAAGCTAAATCTAATCAGCCACTCCTCGCAGAGTTAGCTTGCTGCTAACTGAAGCTAGCTGGCTACGGTAGGTCACCGGCAGCGGCTAACTCAGCTAGCGGCCAACTAACCACGAAGCTCCCCGGCCGCTGACCAGTTCATGGCAACGGTGAACTCCCCTCTCACTGCCCGTGAGCCTCGCCGGTTGCTTACACAGTGACGTGGCCGGATCCTCGCACAACCACCGGGTCCGGAGCGTACTTGAGGAGCTGCTCCTCCGCGGCCCTGTCCTCGTCCTCTTCTTCCTCCTCCTCCTCTTCGTAGATCTCATCAAAGTCCTCCATCATCGCACGACTCGGCCTCGCGCTTCCCGGGAGAGACACCGGGAGAGACACGATGCCGACAGACAGCGATACCTTACTGCAGAAATTGTACAAAGAGAACCGTGAAGACAACGACGGAAAATATCAACCCGTCCCGAAGACGATTCAGCTCACATCCTTTAGCAGGCTCCGAAACAAAACATCAACATCCGCCGCAGTAACCGCACGACACCGGAAGGGGGACAGACGTGCTTACGTCAGTTTATTTATTTTATTTATTTATTTATTTATTTATTTATTTATTTATTTATTTATTTATTTATTTATTCATTCATTCATTCATTCATTTATTCATTTTTATGTGCTTGCAAAAAAAAATTGAAAATGTGTTACTCAGTTTATTTCACCACAGCAAGTATGATAAACACAACGTAAGTATTTTTTTTAAATCATATATATGGTCAAATTATATGTTTGTAAATGTAAATACTCTAAAAAAAAAAACTTGTTTTCCTGCTCTGTGAAACTAAAAACTATATCTGTATTTTTGCTGTGAGAACAGAAACGCTGTCAAAATACATATCCCTGTATGTCATTTGTGTCATTGTGTGTCTTTGTGATGTTTTTTTCTTTAATCTGTCATAACCAACGGCTTTTTTAATCTTTGTTGTTTGCGTTCATCTTTATACTTTGTTGTTCTACACTTGTGTCTAATAATTATACATAAAGTGTATTTCTGTTGGAAAAATACCAGACCAAAGGACATTTTAAATGAAAAGAGAATAAGAATATACATATGTATATGTATATAGACTTTAAAAGAATGTTGGGTAGTTTAATCTAATCAGTACATTATATTCTGCTAGATGATCAAATATTCCGTATTTAAAATCTTTACAATTCGATTAAATTACTATAAATAAGACAATAAATTAAAGTACTTATCACTTCCCATCACTGCTGCTGTTGCATGCAGCTCATTGTCAGCATGTAGTTGGATTTCAAGACTGGGATGAACTGTTATAAAATGATAACAAAGTGGTATTATTACTGCTACTGCTACTACTACCAATAATAATAATAATGATATTAATATCTAATGAGAATAACCGGAAGTTGTGCAACGCTCCTTCAAAATATGACACGAACGTTGGTAAGAAGTTACATTTAGCCTTCATCTAAACCCAGCAGGCTATGGATATCTCAGTTTTGCAGTTCTGAGTCAAATAAGGTTTAATATGGGCGGATGCTTTAATTAATCTACGTATTTAAAGATGACATCCAGTCGAAAATGTGCCACAGTGTGTCAATACATGCTTTATTTTGAAAGGTTTGACCAGAAGAGCACTCAAGCAAGTCTTATTCTTCACACATATATTTCTGAAAGAAACGATTGAGCAATAGTAGTTTAAGTGCTGCCGTCTGAAAATACATAATCTATGCACGTAAAATGTTATTTTACATCTGATCAAGATCGACAACTGTATAAACCCCCAAACTTTGCAGTAGGCATCGTCTGGATAAGTAAGTACTTCCTGGTTAAGAAGTGTGGAGACAATTGAACCAGTTGGTTTGGTGAATTCCGGGTTAACTTTTGCTGTGAATTACTTAAATTGTTTGGCAAAATGATACGAACGGATTACTTCAACATGATCTCACAAATTTTCAAAGACGTTGTTCCTGTCATCACCAGCGGGATTATCACAGTGGTCCTTTTATCGTGTGTTTTGTTTGGTATCCAAACGTACTTCAGCTTAACTCAGGGGATCTTCAGCGTTGGCGCCGCTGTTTTTCAAAACGGACACATCCACCGGCTTCTCATGCACCCTTTTTATCACAAAACTTTTGCTCAGCTTCTCCTGAACATCGTAGCCCTGGTGGTTCTCGGTGGCAGCTTGGAGAAAGGTGTCGGAACGGTCCGGTTCCTGTTCCTGTTCCTGCTGCTGTCCACCACCACCGGCTTGTTTTTCAGCTTCCTGGAGCTTCTGCAGGATGACAGTAGCCGGGCTCCCACCGAAGGCTTGGTCCCTGTGGCCCTGGCCTGTGTGGCTCTGACTACCATGCACACAAAGATGACTAAAGGATTCCTGTGCGGAGTCAGTTTCCCCACCATGGCGCTCCCTTGGGTGTTTCTCGTGACCACCACTGCCCTCGTTCCGCACTGTGTGCTTCTCTGTAATGTCATTGCAATCCTGACTGGGTGGATGTATGGGAAAGGATGGCTCTCTTTTCTGAGCATGTCTGAGGCCAGGGCTGGCGTTCTGGAGAAGATGATGCCTTTCAGGTTGTTGAAGAACATCAGCGGTGTTACGTTTGTCCCTTCGTCCACAGAGGAGAGGAGGAAGACCCTGCTTCCACGAATCAACCCAACACCTGGGTCTTACCCGGTCCAGGCTTATGCTCCATTATCCAGCATCAACATTGCTGATACGGGAGCCATGGTATATGAAGGCTGGCCCAATTCAACCAGTGCTCTCTCTGGTCCCACACCACCTGTTCATCTTCATGGGCATGGGTCAACACATAGCTTTGGGCTAAGTCACGGTCATAGCTGCAACCACAGCCACAACCACCATGCTCATAGTCATGTTCAGCTCTAGTTCATACACTTGATTGCTTTACAAAACTCCAAATATGCAGATAAGTCATATTCTATTAAAACTGCTTTATTTGCCTCTCCTGAACCATAATAAGGTGATGGTTAACCTACACCATCTCTTGTCCTTGAGTTGTGTGGATTACAATGTCAAATATTTGGGAGAGAAACAAACCGTCAACTGACAATGTGCTTTAAGCTACCGTTTGTGGAGTCTCTGCCTTCTTGAATGAACAAATTACATTTCTCTGAATGTTTAAATGTTTTGGCTGACTTTTCTACATACGTTTAAATGTTACATAGTGTCTTTTGTAATATTTGTTATTTCTACAAAATAAATATGTATATAAAGTATAAAATCTCCATACCAAAACTCTATAATTCACATGCAGAAAACCCCAATTGTTGCAGAAAGGTAGTTGTGTGCACAACCTGTCCTCTATTTATGCCCGGTTCAAGATAAAATGGTGAGTATCCACAAATTGGTAAACTTTATTAGAGTGGAAAAAAGTAATGTTTCAACCCAACCAGGTCTTAATCAGGTATAACAGTGTATGGATTCAAAACTAATTGCACACTGCTGATGTCATGGTCAAGTAATCAAACAAAAAATATGAAATACAGTACACCAAAATCCTGTTTCTGGTCTATGTGGTGATGCAGTGTTATGCTGTGGTACTCCTTTCAAAAATATTTGTAAAATATATTGAAATATGTATTATTGTTGTCATCCTTACAACTTTTTTGCAACTATTTCAATTTTTGATAATGCACCTTCTGGGCTGTATAGTGTAGTTTGTGTCACTTGATCATGATGTCAGCAAGATGTCTAATTGGCCATTTTACTGATTTTACTTCATAATTTCTTCCCCTTCAAACCTGAATTGTTAACATGTTTTTTGGTTTTCAGCTTTTCAACTATAAATCTACTTGGTATACAGTACATGCCCCCAGACTAATGCTTTTATTGGAGAAAATTCAACAAACTATCAGTGGCTTGTGAACAAACTATCTTGGGTGCATGCAAGTTACACTAACAACAGTAAAATGTAGCTTCAGTATTGTTTTTGGTATTTGTTATTTACATTTTGTGCTAGTGAAGGTGAAAACACTTGATTCAAACTAATACCAAAGCACAGAGATAGACCGTTTTAGTCCTAAATCAGTTTGGTTTAATTGACTCACACACAAATATATACTGATCAGAAACTCATACAGCTTCGTGACACCTGAGGCCAAGTCACACGGGAGCAAAGTGGCGACTGAGCTGCCTGTGTATCGTAGTGTCTGTGATGCCAGAGTACAGATCACATCTTAGGATCAAATAAGGGCTCAGTCCTCCCATGCATCTCCATAGATGTTCTTCTTCACTGTAACATAAGAGAGAAAACGGAAAAAGTCTGTTTCACAAATGAATTTAAAGCCACATGTACTTGAATATTAACCCCTTAACTTTTCCTAACCCAGCAAGTGTTTTCCACATCTCTGCAGTAGCAGCTTACCCTCTTTCTTGGGTCTTTCTCGTTCCTTCTCAGGTGTTGATTTCAGCAGTGTTTCAGCCTTCTGGGTGAGTGTAACCTCATAGTTCTCTCTGTTTTTGAGCCTCAGGTCCTCATAGAGGATAGGCTTCCTCCTGGGCTCCTCCTCCTCCACATATGACTGGGCTGAAGCTGATGGGGACAGAGACAGAGAAACAGGTCGCTGCATGTTTTTCTTTTGCATATCTACATTTATAATAATGCCCTTTTAATCTATTTTTTCATTTTCTATGTCCATCACCGGAAAGAAGGCCTTATATAGCTGCTCACACCTAGAGCTACAATTTGTCCACAAATAGGAAATTATTTGGCAACTATTTCGATTATTGACTGATCATTTGAGTAATTTTTCCATGTAAAAATGCCAAATATTTGATGGTTCAAGCTTCTTAAAAGCAAGGATTTAATGCTTTCCCTGAATATCTTTTGAGTTTTAGACTGTTCATTTGACAAAACAAGACATGGGCTTTGGGAAATTGTGACATTTTTCACTGTTTTCTGATTATATATAGAAAACAATTAATCTAGAAAATAATCTGTAAATGAAAATTGATTCTGAAAATAATTGGTTACAGACCTAAGCAATCTACAGCTCCCTTTTTGTTTTTGGTTGAGTGCAATGTTTTTTCCTTCAACTTCATTCACTGAAGCTTTTTGAAAATCTTACACATTAACCTAAACATTGCCATAATAGTGACTTTGGCCAACATCTTGAAAATGAATTGCAAAATCAATCCAGTAATAATTCTACAAATATCTGACCAATTGTAAACTGGTAACAATGTTTCACATTTAGCAGCAGTATTACAATGCATCTAAATCTGCCGTGTGCTTTATTGTGAAGCTGTGATCTTCTTCTTGGCCTCATGGTTTGTCATTTGAAAACGTTAATAGCTGGCAAAGATTATTGTGATTACAGTGATGATTAACAAAAGTTAGTGTTGTATTATTGGTTTACACTGAACAGCTGGTCCAAGAGCAATACAGGCATTTGCACAAACGATGATCATTAGTGCACTGTTTCTGAAAAGCTCATACAGTGACTCTCTGTGTTACCTGGAGCACTGAAGTCATCTGTTCTGTCCATTTGCATGGGTTGCTCTGGCCTGAAGCCATATTCATAATCTCTGGCATGGCTGGGCATCTGGCTGGGGGCTTCTGCTGGCTGGAACATGGGGTCCAATGACTGGGTGTCTGAGTCACTCAGCTCTGACTGGGGACCCCTGGAACTGCGGAGAACAAAATAGTGGTAATGGGGTAGTTGGTAGATTAAAAACATGCAGTAGTATGCAAGTGTGTGGTACTCACTTTTGTTGAGGCAGTCTTGTCCTCTGTCTGAGGGCTTCTCCCAGAGGGGAGTTCTCCAACCTCTTGAACTTCTCCTGGCACGTTTTCATGTATGACATCTTCCCAGCCAGGTAGCCACAGAAGCCAGCAACTGGAGCGAAAAACAAATAAATAATTGCTCAAGCAAACGATAGGTAAATCTTTACTAACAAAGACGGAGCCATTAGAAATTCAGCATATGAGACATTTTAAGTATCTTTTTTTTTTTTTTACACCTCAGGAAGGATGATGCAACATTGTTTTGGCTTAGGATGTCTAGTTTCATATCACATCCATGAAAACAACTTTCAAATTATTCCAGCTTTATAAACTCTGTTAGTGTTAGAGTACTAAACTGTCAGAGGTGTTGATTCAATTTAGTGGTCATTGTAGAGGCTAGAGTTTGTGGTGTGGTTAAGTTGTTTAACAGTAGTCTGAGAGGTGTCTACTCATTAATATGAGGAATCCGTGTGTGTTTATCTTCCAGCTTTAACCTTTATGAACTTACAGGCCACTTTGGGTAGCGATCCAAACCTTGGAGATGCAGACAGCGTCCCTACAGATTTAAGCAGAACAGGGTCAAATTAAAGTTCAAGATGAATTTATATCCGAGTTACTTATATTTTGTTGATTTGTTTTGTAGTATTACCTCTGGCAACTAGGGCTTGAGTGATAGCCATGCTGACCACAGAGAAGGGCACCGCTGTTAAGGAAGCATGTAGATGTCAATGACTCGAGACAGAAGTGTCAGAGAAACAGCTTTCCACCTTGTACCCTTAAAAAACATCATCTGACTTGTATGTGCAAGACATAAACTTACACCTGTACCAAAAGCTCTCTTGGTTGCACTCTCTAAACACCCTCCTCTCATCTTCTGTGGGGATGTAGTCCATGCCCACTGGCGCCTACAGGTTGGCACATACACCACAAATTTGTTAGATAACAAGCAGAAAACACGAAAGCTACACAGACAGTCCCACTTTTCAGACAAACTAATACGATAAAAACAACAGGCAACTACAGGCGTCGTTTCTTACGAGACCGTTAGCACTTGCAGTTCATCTAAAGTTACCGCTAAGCCAGCTAACACCTTGGCACATTGTTAGCCTACAAAATGCGTATTTACCGTCGTGCTTACCTGTGCTCCGTTGCGCTGCTGCTCCTGCGAAAAACCCGTAGTGGTGGATGACATATTGACGACAATGTCAGTGTTAATGTCACCTTTTCAAAGCATGTGAAATAACAAAGTGTAAGCCACTGGCAAGGCTGACTTCTTTACTGTTTGGTACAATGTCATTGCTCCAGCTAACACTGACATAACCCGGAAGTAAAAAAAAAAAAAAAGGTAGGTAGGTTCCATGAGCAGAGGAATGTTTTGTTGTTGTTAGTATATACATTTTTAAGTTTCTCAGTGAATACACATAACGACTAAACGGGGCGAATTATTTTCAAATAATCATACATTACTGTTTAATTGGTATGCCAAGCCGCAAAGAGCACATAAAGTAAGAAGTTGAATTTTAAACACGATCTTTTATTTTGAAAGTTCAAGGCTCATCGTAGGGTATCAAAAAGTCGAACTACGTCCTCTACTGGTTGTACAGATAATGACAACCAGTAGACAAGTCACACTGGGATGTGTCTTTTTTGTGGCCCTTATTCATTTTTCAAAAGTCTTCAGTTCCACCAAAGAGACATTTCCCCTCTTAACTCTTCAGTCAACTGTTTGAGGACCAAAAACTAACAAGTAAACAATATTTCACAAAAAAATATATATATTAGAGAAAAAGAGAGCGAGAGAACAGATTTGTGCATCAAAACTTAATTTTTTTTCCTGTCCTCTTTCATTAATCTCCTCACGTACCCCTAAAAATTTATCCCAGTGTTCTACCACAGGTTTCAGGATTATCAAAATCAGTTGGAAGTGTATTCCAGCCATGTGAGGTTCAGAAAGAAAAGTGCTGGCTGTATCCATATAGTACTGATTACAACAATAATGTTTTCTCTGAGTCCGAATGCAGCTGTGAGCTGGGTTATTTGTATCTGATTAATGTCAAGAATTTCCCATTAAGAATGGAATAATAAAATGTTGTAATAGCCTTGTATGGTGCCTAGGTGATGCTGTTGCACTTAGATGCTACTTGACAATGAAGACATTGATTACCTCTTGCATGTGGTTACGTACGTTAAAAAAAAAAAAAAGATATTTTTACTCAAAATTCAGTAAAAGGATTTCAAGAGGATTCAAGATGGAGTTCTGTTTTTCCAGAGCTGCTCCAGCGAAGAAGAGACCGAGGGGAGAGACAAGATCACAATCAATAGTCTATAACATTTATTGATAAACCTAAAAATAGAGCTGTATTCTTTTTTCCTTTGTTGCCCCAGTTATCCATCCATGACATAACAGGAGAGACCAGACTGGAAATCATTTGTGTCTGATCTGTACTGGTGTGCATGACAGAGTACCTCTTCTGGAGGGTTAAGGTTCGTTCTCGTTAAGCTAAGGTCACACCAGAGTGGCAGGGCACTTGGGCTGATCACAATAGCACTATGGGAACATTTTGGCAGATTGGTACTTGGATGCATTGGTCTGCAGAGGGTCACCTAGGACGATCAATAGTGGCATGTGAGTGTCATCAGGTTTATGTGGGGGCACTAGAGCTAACCAGATGGGCACCTGGGTCACTGAAGTGCTCTTCTTGTGTGATATGTTGGCACATGGGTGCAAATTACCTATATTTTAAAAACATCAATGTCCATTAATGTATCAATATTATTTTATGATAAAAGGGGTTTCTTCCCTCATTGGTATAAAATTGATGTAGAAAATATTAGAAACACCTGCACATTTGAATGAACACCTCTCTAAAACAGTTTCCATAAAAACGTAACATCATAATGTTCATTAAGGTAATTGTATTGCTGGACTGTTGCATTAGATTGCATTAGTTTTAGCTAGATGTACCTGATAAAATGGCAGCTGAGTGTATAAAGGATAAAGGATAAAAATGAAGCATGGAGGCTTGATTTTTTTTCCTAATCCTGGGATATTCCCAGAATAAATTAAGTTTGACAAAGGGCACTTTTGCATTTGGATCTAAAAGTGCAGCAGTGGTGACTGTGTGTGTGTGTGTGTGTGTATGACACTGAGACAGGGAGAGACAGAGGCTGTCAAAGAGGATGTTGGATTCCCCTCCTGTCCTCACTTAACATTGTCAGGTCACAGCTTCCATGGAAATTCAGTGCATCAGCATGGCCCAGGCTGACTTTACTCCTCTAAGTTCTCTTAACAGTTTTATAGGCCTAAACTTAGGTCATTGATATTTTGAAGTATTGACCGATGGGTAGCTGTATTAAGAGAATCAATAGACTGATACAAAAAAATTATATCATTGTGCTCCAAAAATAGAACATACACACATACATGAAGTGAAGTGGTGCCTGAACCACACACTTCCTGTACCCCACCCCCACACCACCCACATGTGGTCTATCAGTTAGTGGGATAAACCTTTGCCAGCCATCCTCTCTGCAACTCCTCTCCTATGAATAATGTCAGGGTCCACCAGCTGGAACTATCATCACTCTGAGGCCTGTGCATGACAGATGTAACAGAGCAGAGTATTAGATAACAAGTAGGTAGATTTTTTGTTTTTTTAAATTTCAAATAAATGGACACAGTTGTAAATGGAACCAAAACCAGTAAACTATTTAGGTAAGTCGTAGCCTACAGGTTAATAAGAGCAGGTGTGGAGGTGCAGCTGACGGTAGATACTGCCATCTCAAGAGTTATCAGGTACAATGTGAGCTGGTTTGCAACACACACACAAGAGATTACAACAGAATCAGGTAAGGCTAATCAAGGTTTGCAAGGTGTGTTCAGCTTATCTATGAGACAGCCCTGCTCCAGGGATGTGACAGTGACACATCACTTGCCCTGCTGCCCTCCACGGAGCCCTCCCACCCCTCCACTCTGCCAGTGTGGAGGCATTTCTGAACCTGAAGCCCAGGTGAGCTCAGCCAGCACACACGGAGCATGGACTCACTACGCCCGCCACAGGTGAGAACAAGCATGGCTTCTATCAGTCTGCTGTCACTGCACAATGCTGCAATATCAATTTATGATATTTTTTGGTTTGAATGAAATCAAGAATGTAAAATCTTATAATCACTGGCATTAAGATTATTATTATTAAGTATTTTTAAGTTTTCAAGTTCAGTGTATTTTTTTTTTTTTTTACTAATGAAATTGATTTATATAGGTTTTAAAGCAAGAACCATTTCTAATTTTTATGACCACATTGTATGTGTGCTTAGCAACTCATTTGACAACATTGGTCAAAGCCATTGAAAGACTGGTAGAGAGACAATTTATTAATATTAACACAGAATTGTGTTATGATGAAAGAAAAACGATTGATTACCTGTTCATGAAAATTCATGTCCAATATAGATATGTAGTAACTAGTATAGACATATTTTTATATACAAGTAATCATAGAAAACAGGGCTTTGGTAAATTATACTTAAAAGGTAGATGAAGATAATAATATGATATAATAATATGATATAGTATTAATATGTTTAAGAGAATTTGATCAATAGTTAATACTTTAGTTAATACTTTAAATGAAACATATCTAACTGTAAAGTGTAAAATATTTTTTAATATCGATTTAACTGGTAGCTTTCCCTCTGTGTCATACTGTTGTGTGAATGGAATTTTACTGCAGCTCCACCATGTGATGATAAGATCAATACTGTGGCATGTGAGGGAGTGTGTGTGTGTGTGTGTGTGTGTGTGTGTGTGTGTGTGTGTGTGTGTGTGTGTGTGTGTGTGTGTGTGTGTGTGAGAGTGAGTGATATTTCTGGTCCTGATGTCAAACTGACTGTCAAGGTGATTTTGGGAATTATTCATATGTAAGATTGGCCAACAGCTAATTAGAGATTTAACGAAATGAGAAATCTATTATCTGGAGACACTGACACCTCATCCTTTACTTACTTACGGTTCCTAGAAACAATCCTCTGTAACCTTTAGATATTGACAAATAAAACTTGAGAAATAAACCATTTCCACAATAGATACATAGCATTTTTTAATTAAATCCTAGTGTTGTATTTCTTTTCTCTTTTTTTCAGCAAATGGTTCCTCAAAACAAAAGCAAGGAAGACCACGATGAGAAACATGGAAATAAAAGCAAAGGTATTTGAAATCCAACAGAAGGCTACTGATAAAATCAGGTAGCAGTTATGTATAATGTACTGTACTAAAAGGACAGTAAATGTATTCAGGCTTTTTGTCTGTCTCAGCAGTCAAAGCTAGTCCTGCACATTCCACTGTGGCTTTGATTGAGGAGGAGATGGAGGATGTAGACCCATGGAACCTGCCAGAGCTGAAGGACACTGGGGTCCCATGGTCAGGTGAGAACTTGTTATGTACTTGTGTAACATTGTTATTAGTACAAGTGTTGTCTTATCCTTGTATTTTTAAAGGACTGATTCCTGATTAGATATGCATACGCAGTAAGTCATACACTTACTGATGTATTACATATAGTCTAAAGTAGATATGATAAAGTGTACCATATCATTTTATTACACAATCACACAGGACACTGTACATCACATACATTAAGATATTCACAGGATACGCAGTGTAACAAGTCTGGGGTGACTCCTCATTACAGTGCCAATAAAAAGTGTTTTATTATCTAATAATGATGAAGCACAGTAGATTTAATGGGGCTTTTCTGCTGAGTTGTTCCTTCGTCGTCACGAACTTTCATGATGTAGCTGTATTTATACACAACTGAAACCTCTTGGCTACACACAGGTGATTTAACTAATTGTGACACACGTGTGTCCTATTACAACAGGTGAATACCTGGATGCAAACAGGTATTTTGTATTTTGATATTTATTATCAATTTAAACCACTTTTTAATTTTTTTTAATTTTGACATTGAGGAGTCTTTTTTCTGTTGATGTCAGTGTCAAAAAAGCCACATTAAATCAATAATGATTCTATGTTGTGAAGTAAAATAAATAAAAACTTAAACACTGTGGTGAATACTTTGGACACAGTAGTTGGTTGAACTACCAAGACATATTGTCTCATTTGAAGGACAGTAAAACAGTGTAATTAGAGATACTGATGTAATTATTTAGTAAGCACAGATCATAAATAATAATGAATGTGATCCACATAGTAGCCGGAGAGACAGCTGAGTTTAAACCAACAGATAAGATAACGTGAGGTGAGGCAAAGTTATTGTTCAGTGAAGTCAACAGTTTTAAAAGTTATATATAGCCACTGCAATTTACTGCGAGTGACAGCATATTATTTATTTATGATTATATAAACAGCTATTTTGATATGAAGGGCTACAGTCTACAGTCACTTTTAAAGGCATTAATTATATTGTGGTTTTCCTGATATGACAAGTGGAAATGTCTGCGTGAAAAAGGCCCATACAGGAGAAGCTGAAGAAATCTTTGTAAATGATAATGATAAATAAAAAAAATGTTTATTTTCTTTTTCATTCTGTCTTTAATCCTATTCATTTACTCTGTCAGCTCTGGATACCAAAGGGAAGGTGCTGAGAGTGCTGGTGTCAGTGGGGAAGTTGGTCCTGCTGCTGGGTTTCCTCTACATTTTCATCTGCTCCCTTGATATTCTCAGCTCAGCTTTCCAGCTTGTTGGAGGTAAATACACTAACACTTGTCTGTACCCATGTGTGGGTGTTGTAATCCTATAGACCTTTTGCCACACAAGACATTTTGCCTTGTCACAGTAGAAAAAATGCATGTGGGAATAATAAAAAGCAGGTTCACAGTTTTTCAAGTCTGTCTTAAAAAAAACAAAAAACTCAGGTCCCCCTGCCTGCTGTAATCATTCGTTCTGTTCATACCGGACATTTACAGATAAGTGGTATACTGTGATTTATATTCTATCAAATCACTCTCCATGCACTCTCTCTGTGCATGAAGAAAAACTATGTAAAAAACTATGTGAAAAGCCCTTTTTGAAAGTGTACATGCTCCTATGTTCACCTTATCTAGGTAAAACAGCAGGTGACATCTTTCAGGACAACTCAGTTTTGTCCAACCCACTGGCTGGTTTGGTTATCGGTGTCCTGGTCACTCTGCTGGTGCAGAGCTCGTCCACTTCCTCCTCCATAGTTGTCAGCATGGTCTCCTCTGGATGTGAGTATGAGGCTTCACACTACACACACACTACACACACACACAGAAAGATACACATCCATGCACAGAAAACATATAGTATGCATGAATGATAATGATGTTGGAGGTGTGGAGGAGGGGGATGATGAAGGAAACCTGTGTCCTTTGGCAGTGCTGACGGTCCAGCTGGCTGTCCCTATCATCATGGGCACCAACATTGGCACCTCTGTCACCAACACGCTTGTCGCAATGACACAGGCTGGTGACCGTAGCACCTTTCGGAGGTAATCATTTTGTGTTTCATGGGGAGCTTCCTTTTACACCTTTCCTCTGCAGTTCAGAGAGCTCACAAAAAACATCTTAAGAACATGTATTCTACTGTGAATTACTACAATGCGCAGACCTAATCTGGGAAAATCATACTCATTCACATAGTGCAATTGTATCTAATACATGACTGATGAATTCAATTTTATTGCTGTAGCAATCAGGTAATTACTTTGGCCTGTTATAAAACTAATTACCCATGCCCAGAAATGTCATGAAAAGTCCAAAACTAGATAACACTGGTAACAACTTACAACATCAAGTGCACCAGAGCAGGAGGTCAACATTTAAGTAATAAAATTTCATCACATTTTCATTTACATTTACAACATATCCAAAATGTCAACTTTTTAATGAGCTAAGTAATCAGCTCTTTTAGAGATTTGTGGCCATGGGTTTTCATGAGTTTCATTAGCCCTAAGAAGTGGGGGAAATTTACAACCCATTATGTTTTCACTATTTAATCTACAAAATTAAATCCGTCCGTTCATCTAAAAACTACAAATACTTCAGGTTTACCTGAAATATTACAAACCTGTAAACTTGGAGATTGCTTTTCCAATATAAAGTTATGCTTTACAGTAATATTAGGCTTCCATTAAGAAGAAAGGTAATTTTACTTTGCCTTTATCTACCTTTTCACAATGCACCCAGGGCTTTTGCAGGGGCCACAGTGCACGACTTCTTCAACTGGCTGTCAGTGTTGGTGCTGCTGCCTCTGGAGGTGGCCACTGGTTATTTGTACGAGGTCACTAAGCTCGTCATCGACTCTTTCAAAATCCAGAGCGGGGAGGCCCCAGACCTGTTAAATGTGATCACTGATGTCCTCACAGAGTCAATCATACAGGTAAAATGTCATTCTGATGATGTTATTGTTGCTTGTGCTAACTATCATTACAGCTCAAGTCAGAAGAAAATGATTGTTGTTGGCTCATTAAAAGTTACCAAGGATACACAGGTGAAACATTGTTGAAAAACACTGAATGTAAAAAAGACTCCACAGGGTACCTTTAACATCATTAGATGTGATTGATATTACAAATATCTGGGAGACTTTATCTTTAACATAGGATGTCAACATTTAGCTGAAATTATCCAGAGGGAATTACAGTAGGCTATACATCATCTACATCATCGAACCATCATACAACATTGTGTTGTAAGGCATATTTCATCCATCAGACAGTAGTCATTTAGCTATATAGAGCAATAAGATGCAATTTATAACATTGTTATCTTCATCATGGTTGACCTCCACATTCCTTCTCTTTCCCTTTGACTTAGTTGGATGAATCTGTCCTTAGTGGGATTGCCACTGGAGATGCAGAAGCCAGGAATAAGAGTCTCGTCAAGAAATGGTGCCAAACCTTCACCAACGCAGTAAGACCAAAACACGTTCGCTGCATACCAAATATCCAAACACATTGAAATTCAAGTCTTTATAGTCAAATTGCCGCTGTGTTTCAGACCTTAATGAACGTTACAGTTCCTGGTCCAGAGAACTGCACCTCTCCGTCTCTCTGCTGGGTGGATGGCAACTACACCTTCACACTGAAGAACATTTCTAAAACATATAATGTCCAGAAATGTAAGTCCACAATTCTCAGAATTTAACATCTACTTTGTTTTTTTTGCCACACTGAATTTAAAAAAGGGTGACCTACAAGTCTGGTAAAAGTATGATATACTCATCATGATAAACATAAATATACTAAACTTATAAAACTTACAAAACTATCACATGACATGACAAAAATGTTTAAACAAGCTCAGCCACCTAACTGTGCAGTTATGGGAAGATCATCCTTTCCTTGATGCAGCTTTTTAGTGTCTTTCAGTTCAATGTTTTGGTTTCACAGGCTGCAGATTTATTGACCCAGCAAATGGCCAGAAAAAAAATCAATTGATGCAGGTTAAAAAAAATAAAAAATCTGTCATACTTAATGCAGAAATTTCAGGTGTTTATTTTCCGTGTGTGTTCAGGTAAACACCTCTTTGTGGATGTACATCTGCCTGACCTGTTTGTGGGTCTGATCCTGCTGGCTGTCTCTCTGCTGGTGCTCTGCTCCTGTCTGGTCCTCATCGTCAAGCTGCTCAACTCCATGCTGAAGGGACAGGTGGCTGCAGTCATCAAGAAGATCCTCAACACAGGTGAGCAGCCAGTGGAATAAATTGGATGTAATTGCATTGGTTAGTAACACATGGATGTGTTGTGGATGTTTGCATATATGTATCTGTTTGTGTGTATGTGTGTGCAGATTTCCCATTTCCATTTGGTTGGGTCACTGGTTACATTGCCATAATAGTCGGAGCTGGAATGACCTTCATCGTGCAGAGCAGTTCGGTTTTCACTTCGGCTATCACTCCACTTGTTGGTGAGGTCACTCCTCCATCCCACCATCCATCCATTTCATTCCTTCTGTTTTTTTTCATTTGAAAATTACTCTATCTATCTATCTATCTATCTATCTATCTATTGGAAACGTATGAGACAAAGGGGAGGTGGAAATGTTTAAAGGTGTGTGTGTCTACTTTAATCAGTGTCTCTTTTGTTTGAGTAGGTATTGGTGTCATCACCATAGAGAGAGCATATCCATTGTCACTGGGTTCAAACATTGGCACAACTACCACAGCCATCTTGGCAGCCATGGCTAGTCCTGGAGACACACTAGCTAATGCGCTACAGGTCAGTAATTCACACAGAAACATGTAGAATGACCAGATTATCTTTTTGAGTTTAAGTTAATTTATTTTTGATTTGTCAGAGATATAAAATCTATAAAGTAGAGGAAGCCTGTTTTGTCCTAGTTGTGTAGATATTATTCTAAATATATTTATCTTCAGGATAAATTTTGCGTTTATTATAGAACATATTTATTACATTTGCTTTTATGTTTAGGACTAAAAATCGAAATTACCAATTTTAAATAGATAATTTTTGAATTGTATCATAATCCATTGGGGATATCATTAATTGTGAAATTGAAGACGGTATTTATTGCAACTTTAAATTCTTGAAAATAGATATGTAATTTGAGATGCATAATAAAAGTAGGAGTTTATTTGAAAGAACAGCTCTACTTAAACATAATTAAATACACATTTTTGGAAACTTTTGAATGAAATTGTCATTGTCAATTGTCAAACACATTTTGCAGTCTCTGACTTTGATTTTATCAATGCCAAATCACATAAGGAAACTTTTTCAAGGAAATTATTAGGAAATTATAGACCTGCAAAATAAAGCATTACCAAACATTTTCATTAATATATTTTATAAATATGTAGTTTTCCCTGATAGTCTAAAGAGTCACTCATATATACTATGTAATTATTTATTTTTATATATACAGTAATAGTGTTCCAATTTTTTATTTTACGAGAAGAAAAATAATGACTGAACCATACCAATAAAGTTTGTTCTTGATTGCTCCAGATTGCCCTTGTGCACTTCCTGTTCAACATTTCTGGCATCATTCTGTGGTATCCAATCCCCTTCACCCGCATCCCTATCCGGCTGGCTAAAGGTCTGGGCAACATCACCGCCACCTACCGCTGGTTTGCTGCTGTCTACATCATCTGCTGCTTCTTCCTTTTACCACTCTTAGTCTTCAGCCTGTCGCTGGCTGGCTGGCAGGTATTGGTAGGTGTGGGTGGACCTCTAGTCGTCATATTGATCATCATCGTGGTGATCAATGTGCTGCAGAAACGGAAACCTGGGTGTTTGCCTGCAGCACTGCGATCCTGGGATTTCCTCCCTCTCTGGGCTCACTCACTGGCTCCCTGGGACAAAGTGGTTGGTGTGATTACTGCCAAATGCTGTTGCTGCTGCAAATGCTGCCAAGTTGCTGCTGATGACCAAGAACACAGAGAGAAAGAGTGTGTGGAAAACAACAACAAGCCACACAGAGAGGTATATGATAACCCTGCAATGAGTGCAGAAAAAGAGGTAGAAAATGAGATAAAGATAGAGCTAAAGATTCTGAAAATGACGCAGCTGTGAGATTTTTTATATATATGTGTGTTTGATTGTGCATGATGCAAAGAAGCATATTGCTCAAGGCATTCAGGACAAAACAAACATTTCCACAATATTTATGTTATTACTTTTAATAGATCTTGTAGTGTAAGATGAAATGGCTGTGAAGGGATTTCTTACTGTCAGAAAATACCACATGCAGGAAAATGTTGGGCTTCCCACTGTATGGTGTTAACTGGTGTGGCCTTTAAAGGATATGGCTGGCAATATTTTATATTTTTGTTATCATCAGATAATCTCATGGATAGACCAAAGCCAACAATGTGTAAGTCAATCTCTCAATACTTTATTACTTTGCATACTCTGTTACTCAGCCTCAAGCCAACTGGCTCCTGCCGAAACCGTAAATCTTAGAAGCAGCACATGAAAAAAACACTTTCATTTTTAAACAAGGCTGAACAATTTTGAACTGAATAAAGCAGCTGGGCACTGTAGTTTTTAGCAAACATTACTCAAACAGAGGGAAATAGTGCATTTGTTGGGGACTATTTAAAGCTGCGGATTAATACACATTTACCAAAACCAGTTGACTGGTCAGTCAGACCACCGCTTTGGTTAAGACTGAAATGTCTCAACAATTACTTGATGGATTGCCACTGAATTTTGGGCTGACATACATGGTCCCCAGAGGAGAAACTTAATGATGTTGGTGATCCCCTGACTTTTCCTCTAGTGCCGCCATCAGGTCATATTTTAAAATTGTCAAATACTTGGTTTATAGCCAAACACCTGCAAAACTAAAAGTTGTGTACATGGTAAACATACCTGCTTAACATCAACTTGTTAGTAATGTTACTATGAGCATGTTACCAAGCTGATGATGCAACAGTGGAGGTCTATAACACAGAGGATGAATCAGGCTTTGGTTACACAGTTAATACTTGTTAGTTGGACCTATTCATTGTTGGTTCTTTTAATGGGCTTTGTGGACAATGAGACAAATTATATAAGATTATAATTTATAACTCTATAAGAATATTACCAAACCTATCCTATAATTCTTGAGTTTCTAACTTTAACTCGAATAGGCAGAGAAAATTGCCACTTATCCTAAAAATCAGTTAAACTAGAATTTCACTGTAGAGCGCATACCTCCACCAAGGCCAAACAATCCTACATGTCTGTCAGATCCAGATTATCATCAGAATCTGTACCAAATTGTACATACTTATAGATCTCAACAACATTGATATGTTTAATTTTTTACACCAAGATCCATACATTATTTCATGGAAAACTGATGAAACTGATTGATGTTTATATTCTAATGAGAGGACTAAAATGATGAATTACAAATTAGGAGTGTTTGTGAATCTAATGGTGAACAGAGTCAATACTGACACTCACAATATTGACAATCATTGATAGAGCAATGCAAAGTAAAGTGACTGTTATTGGCCAGCACATGCTGTTAGGTTATATTATACTCTTGGTGTTGAAATGTGAAAACTCCTGAAGGTGCCATGGCCTCTGTGCACTAGTATACAGTAGATATAGTCACAATTAGATCTGCACAAAATCTGTCCTAGCAGAGCATAGGTTTGATGTGACAGACAAAGATCTGTTTCAACATGTTTCAACGTTTTATCAGGTTTCATCTTTTGTATTTTTTTAATTGTGTATAAAAGACACATTGAGATCCTTAACACATCGTTTTAAGGTGTAAAAATAATTTTGTAATTGAGATGAATGATTGTATTCAAGGAATATGTAGTTTGAAATTAGATGAATGTGCATCTAACTTAATGTTTATAACTTTTAATGTTTAATGCTGACTTGTATATTCTTTTCCCATAATACCAATATGACAATTTGAAAAATTAAAAGATTAAAAATTTTAACTAATCCAAAGATTTACATTACTCTTTCAATTCACCTGACGGATACCTCTTGACTCATTATTTTGTTCCTTCATTAGCAAAAATTTTTACCTGTTATCAAAGGTATGATAGGAGAATATTTATTGTTCTCTTATCAGTGTTATCTGAAGATAAAGCACAGTGGGAGATAACAATTATGATACAAGGAGGAAACAGTTCAGAGTTCAGTGTTCAGAGTTAAAAACATGCCCTGTATCTCAAAAATATGATCAACTTTATCAATATAATTAATATTATTAATCATTTTCAGGTAGATCAGGTAGATTTTTTTTTTTTAATGAGTTTTTCATTTTTCTGGGACAACTCAGACAATGTCCATGAAACTTGCACTGTTGTGCTGACCACTATACTGTCACATGTCAGTGAGCCATGTGCAAAGAACATGAGATAGATTATCAATACGTCAATATCGAGGGTGCAAAACTGTGCTGAAGCACACGACACAACAACCACGAGATACTTTTCACATGGTTAACTGTCATTCACTCACTCTGTAGGAAATGTCTTGCACACGCACACACACGCACACACACACACACACGCACACACACACACACACACACACACACACACACACACACACACAAATTGGTAAATTGGTTGCTTAGTGCTATCCAATCAGATCATCACAAGCTGTGCCTCTAAATATTTTAGTGTCAGGGGGGCAGAAAATACATTAAACTTACCTGTTAATCCTCTGAAAATGCTCCTTTGTTAAATGTATACTGTTTTATTTTTATGTGAAAAAAATTGAGAAATATGTATGTAATGACTTTTTAAATCAGTGGGAGATAGATTCACATGATGTCACAAGTTCACATTAGCGTCACAGTTAATTCACTTGGCTAGACACCAGTTACACCTGACAGCTGTAAATATTTTGTAACGACTCATCTCTTTTTTGTATCACTCTCTTTACTTTTGATTCCTTGCCCTCAACCATGAGGTTTGCTTACAATCTCTTTCTAACCAAGATAAATACAAATACCTTGATAAGATAGTACGGACATTTCTTAGAATGGAGTCAGATAAACATGAAACATACAGTAAGTCCATTCACATAGACAAATAATAAAACACAAGACACGAGACACATGTACATTCATATTTTTAAGTAGTACCACAGTTTTTCATCTTACATGCACACATACACCTCTCATCCCCACCCCTACTTTCTACAAACATAAATACACACACACACACACACACACACACACACACACACACACACACAGTTCTCTGTCCTGTGTTCCCCATCCCACAACCGACCCCCTTCCCAGCTCTGCCACGAGTTGTTATAGGTCTTATAGGGCATCATAAATGTACTTCTAAACCTCACTGCTTCGTTTTATTTTTTATCTTCGGACATTATCTTTTCTATGACCAAATGATATTTCAAAAATTCTTCCCATGTCTGTAAAGATTCTGGTTTTCACCATTGTTTTAAAATGAGCTTCTTATAAAGGCAGAGAAAACCACAATCTGCCATCTTGGACATCTTATTTTTTCATGTGAATTCAATTTAGTAACGACTACGATCTACATTAGAACTAGTTTCTGTTATGACTACGCTAAGAGGGGATAGTCTTTTCTGTTCCCTTTGTTAATGATGAAACAGTGGCACAGTGCACCCATCCCATCGACAAGCTACACAGCAACTCAACACGTGACAGGGTGTGTTTTCAGCTGTGATGTTGTCACTCACACATGCACACGCACACACACGCACACACACGCACACACACGCACACACGCACACACACTATACTATGACATTTTTGGACATTTTTATGACATAGTATACTATGATTTTTTTTTGACATTTTTATGCCAAACTATACAATAAAGTTTTTTTGATATCTTTATGCCTTACCATAGTATGACATTTTTATGCCAAACTATACTTTGATGTTTTTGGACAATTTTATGCCTTCGTATACTATCACATTTTTATACCATACTATATTATGATGTTTCTTTTTTTTTTTTTACATTTTCATGCTTTCCTATACTATGACATTTTTATGCCTTAATATAAAAGGACTTTTTATACCTTAGTATACTATGATGTTTCTATGTCTTAGTATACTATGACTCTTTGAAGGGCTGCATGGTGACACAATGGTTAGAGCTGTGGGTTCAAGTCCCGGGCATGGAGACATACTGTATGGAGTTTGCATGTTCTCCATATACTTGCCTCAGTTTTGTCCAGGTACTCTGGTTTCATCCCACAATCCAAAAACATGCGCATTACGTTAATTGGTGAAACCAATGAATTAGTATAATGTGACTTTTTATGACATAGTATGATAGACTATGACTCTTTCTGGACATTTTTATGCCTTACCAAACTATGACGTTTTTTTGAAATTTTTATGGCATACTATACTATGACAATTTTATGGCAAACTATATTATGATGTTTTTTGAAATTTTTATGGCATACTATACTATGACAATTTTATGGCAAACTATACTCTGATGTTTTTTGACATTTTTATGGCATACTATACCATGACAATTTCATGGCATACTATACTATCATGTTTTTTGAGAATTTTATGCCATACTATACTATGACTTTTTTCAAGATTTTTATTCCTCAAAACACTGCAGTGCTTTCATTTCTCACGATACTTTGATGTTCTGATGTTTTAATATATGATGATATAAAGACAGACACAACAGTACAATGGTTAGAACTAATGTTTCATAACGAGAAGGTTGCGAGTTCAAATCCCAGCCTTAGCCGTTTCTTTGTGAAGTTTGCATGATATCCCTGTGACTGCATGGTTTCTCATGTCCAATGACATGCACAATAGCTTGATTGGTAACTGTAACTGACATTTTCATGCCTTACGATGATTTGAGAATTTTCTGCCTTATCATACTTACTATGACTGTTTGACGTTTTTTGACATTTTTATGGCTTAGTATACCATGATGTTTTTTGGCATACTATATTATGACAATTTATGGCATACTATACTATGACATTTTTTGAACTTTTTATGCCAAACTATACTATGATGTTTTTTGACATTTTTATGCCATACTATACTATGACAATTTTATGACCTTTTA